CCCTCACATTTTCCTTTCTTATATAAGCTGTCTCCCCTCTTACCTTTTAAAGAACTGCTTGTTCAAATCCTTTGCCTATTTTTCGGCCAGAGTACCTGCCTTTCTTACAAATCGCTAAGAGCTTTCTTTAAAAAGATACCTGAATGGGGACTGGGGATATAAGTCAGAAGCACAGTGCCTGCCTGGCAAGCACAAGGTCCTAAGTTTGATCCCTGATACCAAAAAGAGAAAAAGATACCTGTATGAACAGTTCCAGTCTCCTGAACAGCTGGCTGCGACAAGATCTGCCGCAGCTTATCTTGGTGGGAAAGCAGTGCCCACCCTGCTTTCAGTATGTACAGCTTTAACTGCTGGCTCCGTAGCAGATCCAAGTCTACTTGTCCTGTGGAATAAAAGAATCCAACAAAAACTAAACCCTCTCCTTGGATTCCTCCTCACCAGCTGCGCCACTCTGAGGTGTAGCAATAAACACTGTCCTGCTCTTCGGTAATGGAGCATGGTCTTCCTCCTTCCCTTCAACAAGTGGAAGTGAGGACTACAGCCACAAGACAGCTATGATGAGTATCACCACCTGTTTCATTTCTAATTGCTTAAATTTCAACTAGAAGACTAGGTTACAAAATACTTTATATTTTTCTTAAAAGACTTCCTCAGAGAAAATTTTGTCAGATTCAGCCAGACTTTTAACTGAAGAAGACCCCAGCCATTTCCCTAGTGCCTTCTCCAATCCAGCCACACAATGACTGCCTCAGGCCATCTGAGAGCAGCCCAAGAAAGGCACCAGAGTGCTACAGGTCTGAATTGCAGGTGTGGCAGGAGTGTTCTCAAGCAGGGTATGGCAGAGATCTAAGAGACAGCAAGGGAACATGAGGTGAAGGGACAGGAGGGAGCCTGAGCCCTGAGCCTGACCAACTGGCAGATGGGTTTGTTTACCATCACAGGACTGGAAGGTTACTGGAGAAGGCAGGCTAAATTTGACACATGCTATGATCACATCTATGCGCCCTCCAGTCAAGTATGCAAATTTGAGACGTAGTTGAAGATTGCTATAGAAATTGGTGGAGCAACAGTAAAATGTTAGGGAATGGGAGAAAACTCCAGAGTAGGCAGAACGAATCAAAAGTTATGAGTAAAACCATAAAGATTTCCAGAGTAGAAAGTATAAACAGGGAAAATAACTCTAAGAATACTCATGTAGCCAGGCATGGTAGTATATGCCTGTAATTCCAGCACTTGGGAGGCTTACACAGGAGGATCACTGTGAATTCGAAGCCATCCTGGGCTACAAAGTGAGTTCAAAGCCAACCTGAACTACACAGCAAGATGCTGTCTTGCAGGCAAGCAATCAAGTTTTTAAAAAAAAAGAGTAAGAGGGCACAAGGAAGGAAAATCACAGGATAAATATTGTAGGCCCAAAGGAAGAGGTTACAGTCTTATTTAGCCGGACACACAAAGGAAGGCAGAACCAATACAAAGTTCCGACAGAGTTGGCACTGAACAGGCCATGAGTAAAATTCCAAAAGGGTGGCTGAGCCACAGAGCCACAAGCTGGAGGG